GGCACTCCGTATTTGGTCAGATAGGCTTGCACAATTTCACGCCTGAACTCTAACTGTGTCAACTTGTTGCCGGATTTTTTATGTAGCACCCACGCATTTTGTATAGTCACATCTAGCATCCAGGTAATCAAGCTCCAGTACCATTTTTTGCCCTCATTCCTATTCTAAACGGTTTATATTTTCGTCCATTAGGTCGGTGCCCCCCATTGCATTATTATATTTACCAATCAGGCATGAACTTTGAACCTGGATGATTTTCTTTTCAGCTTGTGGATATCTTTTCACGAGCGATTGTGGTTCCACCCCATAACATGTTGACGCTACACTTACGACGCTGTTATCCAACCATCTTACAACTATAATACCAGTTTCTCTCTCGAGAATCGACTCTACATCACCCCTTTTGCATTTCTGCATATTAGCTTTCAGTTCTATAGGGCAGTTTTTGAGAATGCGATTTTCCCGTATTGTTCCGGTAAGGCTATAGCCATGATCCTTTATATGTTTTAAAAGGTGGAGGCTCGTAAATAAATTGTCGCAGAAAAATTTGTAGGGTAATCTTGATTTATCATTGGGCAGTTCATTGAGCATTGTGACAAATGGAGCCGCACATGCTCCAAAAACTTTATAATAATGATTATTTGGTTTGGGATCGGTTCCTTGGTACATGTTGAAGCTTACAAGATACCCACTTTTAGTGTTGAGGCACCAAACTTTGTATCCGAAACGAATCGGCTTTCCTTTTATGAACTGTTTACATGAGTGGCGTCCAAAGTATTTCACCATAGATTCGTCGTAATTTAATTCGCCTTCAGGGACGTAATATTCTTTATATTTTTTTGTAAATAGTCAGCTAAGGGTCTGATCTTGTAATATTTGTCCCTTTCATCGATGGCTTATTTGCAAGGTGGAAAAAAACGCCAAATTGTAAGGAACCGATCTCTTCGCATAGCGTTCATGACCATTGCATTACCCATATCGCTTTTCGTATTCCAGTAAAATTTTTTTCCCGGGAGCCAATTATACCCCGATAGAAAATGGCAAAGAAACACCTCATTTCTCCTGCGGAAATTTTTGGGGTTGGGAAAGTTGTTCTGTAGTGCATAACTCGTGCATTGGTTGAGAATGTAACTAAATTTTAAGATTTGACAGTGACAGTTTGTTAATAATAAGTATTTATCCTTCCAAATACACTACTAAATTTTCTACAATGGAGCAGAGAAATCTTTAAATATATTACAATTGCAAGTAGATAGGTAAAGAAAACCCTAATAATATAATTTAGCAATTGAATGAATTTTTCATTATTATGTTCAAATTTAGTTGTACATAGTTAAAAATTATTGAAACGTTTCTAGGCTTTCGTTTTTTCTGGATAAGATATTTCTGACTACATAAAATCAAAAGTATTGTATAAGGTTAAGCTGGTATTGGAGATTTCAAAAAAGGTACAATATACATGGTGTTGTATTTAAAAATCTAAAGTTACTAATGATATCAGAAAAATGGTAAAATTGGCACCGTTACAAACATCAAATTTCAAATCTCTATATTGCAAAAAGGTGTACAGGACCATCCATTTAAGAGACAATTCGTTACCCTAATATTACAAGGTTGTATGTAACAATATTGCTAATTTGAGAAAAATCGATTTAAAAAAATGAGCTTTCATAAAAATCAAATTGTTTTATATATTTTAAATTTGAATTTAAATTAAAAATGTACATATGTATTAAAGGTGATTTAAATAAAAAATTAACAAAAAATTGGTTTTTGTATTAGAAGAAAGGCATTTGAAAAAAAAAACATAGAACCTTGATATAGCAAGAAAATTTTACTTATTTAAAAAATTAACATAGAACTTTATTAACTACAAAAAAAACAAATTAAATCTTATTTTTGGAGGAAAATACACTCGTAGTATTCCTTATCAACTTCAGGGATATACTTGAACATAGATTTTAGGGCATCTATCTTATTTGGGGGAAGTACAACAGCCTTATCACATTTTTTTAATTGAAGCGGAATGAGTGGTTCTGTTTCGGTTTTAACATGACCTTTTCGTAATTTTCTTTGATGTAAATTTACAGTTTTTAGCTCTTTGGCTGGATCAAAAGTATCTTTATACTTCAGTTCAAAAAAAGATTTAGAAAATTCTAATGCTACTACTTTTGAAAATGGTACAGCGTTGTAGTTCAGTTGGCTGGAAAAAGACTGAAAATCTATAAAATGTTCTTGTTTCATTTGAATTATTGTATATGGATTTTGTCGGTTTACTTTTAAAAGGTAGCGCAGAAGTGATATAGGAGAATAATATTCTACTTTATTCAACGTTCTTTCAATTGCACTGTGGATTGCATCGACCTCTTGAATACAAGCATGTCCTGGAACAGAAAATTTCATGGAAATATTGTGCACATTCTGATGTTTTTGAATTAGGTAACTGAGAGCATAACTCATAAGACTGTTTCGATTCTGTGAAACGCAGCTATCGCTCCACAAAATGATTTTTGTAAACTCTGGATGGTCCACCAACACTTTTCCTACTATTTTATAAACTGCGCTTGCAATGTCATTTCCCTTTCTTCCATGTAAAGCTTCTGTCCACACGGCACAATACACCTTTTTCCCAACCGAAAGGTGACCGGTCATATTGTACACATTTAATTTGCTCTTATAAAAGAAATTTTTTATGTCTGCTTTTGGACATGTCAAAACATTTTCCAGATCAAAACATAATAAAGGTATTCCGCTTTCTTTATCTCTTTGGTTTTCTTCTCTCATATACTCTTTCTCTTTCAAATGATCAGTATATCTTCGTTGTGATTCTTCGTCTTCTCTCTTCTCCATTTTTCTTAATTTTATTTCTTCGCAGGTATCACATCTATCTTTTCTTGGTTTGTGAAAAGCTATATTAAAATAGTTGCAAAATATTTTTCTGTAGACAGCAAAAGAAACTGGATTTTTTTTTGCATTCTCCAGCAAAATCCAAATAAAGCTCATACAATTTTTTGATACTTAATCCGCTTTCTAAATACTCTTTATTAGTTTTTTTGCGACAGTAATGGGATTCTACTCTTGGAATCATGTTAATGTGCTCCTTGACCAAGTTACTATCTTCGAGTGATGTTACCCGTTTTTGATGTTTGCCTTGTTTACTTTCGGGTAAGGTTTTGGTGGAAGTTTTATTGTTGTGCACCGTATAAATTGGTTTCTGGCTTATGCATAAAGTCCCAGTGTAAAAAGCCTTGCAAACTTGGATCTTTTGATTATTTATCTCAAAATAAAACCTAAAACTTTTGCTTTTTCTCGAATTTTCTGGATTTTTGCCTTTTCTTCGTCTCCAAGGAGTCTCAGCTTCTGTGGTATGCAAAATATAGTTTTTCTTTTCGATCGCTGAGAGTAAATAATAGTTTTTAAAAATTTCCTTCCTTTGTTCGTCGCTAATTTGACGCGAGCACTTCATTCTACACTTTTGTACACAATCTTTTTTATTCCTAATCTTTCTAGCAGGTACTACCTTTTTTCGAGAAGAAATATACTCTAGACCTTGATCAAATAAAGATTTTCTTTTGTTACATGTCCATTCAGAAGTGTTTTTCTGTCGTTTTCTAGTAAATATCTTTTTATCTTTTATTATATTATGAGTTGCTTCTTCTAGTAAAATTTCTTCGGAAATATGTCCAATATTATTTGTATCATCGAAATCAGAATGGTCTGGTTCTAGAATCTTAATTTTGTTATCTTCTGAAGACGGGATTTTCTTGGTGAATTCTGGAACTAAAGTTGTAGAACTGCTAGGTACATTTCTAAAATAAAAATAAAAAAAAATGTTTTCGCGATTTAGTTAAACAAAATAATTGTCAAAAATATTACCTATTTAAGTTAGACTGCAAGTCACCAGAAACCAGAGTTAGATGCATTTTTAATCTTAATATTGCTAACAACTATGATTGGGGCCTTTTTATTCTTTGGAGTGTGAATGATTGAGGTGGAAGACGAACTAGGAGCTTTTCTAAAACAAATTAGTTTTTAAATAGTAACAACAAGCTAAATTATAAAAAGAAATTAATAAAATGTTACGTTGTTTAATTTTTTTTTTGTTTAGCAAATCATGCCTACCTGCTTGAATCCGTTTCTGAGTTAGTTTCGTCATCACTTTCGCTGCTACTTCTTGACACTGGAATATTAATAACACGTCCACGAATTTTAAGTCTGAAACAAACAACTTTTTGTAAAAAAAGAAATAAAAAATAAAAACCTAACCTCACAGTATAAGATATAGAAAAATCTTACCTGCATTATTCCATCTTCGATGATTTTTGAACTGGTAATACGTAATCCTCATCATCATCACAGTCTTGGACATAGTCATCACTTAAATTACTTATTTTTTTTAATTCTAGACACAAATAACACTCTCGAAAACGCTTGCGATTTGTATTATAAATACAGGAACATAACCTCACTTTTACAAAAAATACAATAACAAGGTTGTATGTTACAACATAGAACCATGTAATATTTAGATTTTAATCAAATTTTAAATTCCAAAGTTCTATGTTTACCATAGAACTTTGCTATTCATATAAAGCATAATTTTGTACATACACCCTTGGTTTTTTTAATATTACCAGAGTTGTATGTGAGCAAACTAATTTCCATACAAATTGTGATGTAGTGCTAGTCACATAGAACTTTGTAATATTAAAAACTTAATTTAGTAAAAAATGTTACATAGAACCTTGTAATATTAGGGTAACGAATTAGTCGTTTCCAGACTTGTCATACACTCTGTATGTTTATAATTCCTTAAATGTATTGACGGGAACCGCTATTCATAAAAATATTTTCTTATAAATTTTTAAACAATTGAAAATTGTCGATTACGTGATGGAAAATTTATATTATTTAACTGAATACGTACAATCATTTCTACTATTATAATATTCTCTCTGTTATATAACAAGTATGCTAATTTATCTTATTTTGAATTGCAGTCAAAACTGAACTGTGAAGTATTGTTCGATGACCTGGCATTCGAAGTGAGATGGGCTGTTGCAGGAGATAGCATTGTGTTGCAATTGGTTGCGAAATTGGGTATGTCCTTTTGTTGAATTAATTAGAAAGATCAAAACTATTAACATAGTTAAGTATACAGGAGAGTTTAGGAAAAAGATATATAACTTAATCGATAAAATGACAAAACGAGTTATTGTTAAATGTTGTTAAATATTTATCACAGATATCAAAACTTTAAACATTTATTGCTGCCTACGGAATGCTTCTACAGTTTGATAACTATATTTTATGATGCAATTGGTAAGTATGCAATTATTTATTTTGATTAAAAGTATTTCTTTGTGAGTCCTATCTAAAAATATATATTATGTGATAAAGTTTTTACCTTATTATATTTTCTTTAACTGAAGTTTTTTTTTTCGCAAAATCAAAAAAGATAAGAAAGTTTATTTCTGCGTATTTAAGTTAACTTTATTTATAATTTTTAGTCGTTTTGGATTGTTTTTAATTTACCCAAAAAATTTAAAATCATAATAGTTCGCAGTCGTTGGCAATTTTGTCATTAAAGCGATTTCGAAAAAGGACGCAGTGTAGGGATGAAAGAGGCGGGTTTTAGTTTAAATTGCACGACGAGTTAAAGGTAATCCATCAACGGTGTTAAGAGTTTGGAGGGTAGGTGGTGGCCTAATGATAAGACTTATCGGCATCGTGGAGTCTGGATGTCCTAAAATATTGTTAGGTCCTGATTTGCGCTATCTACATGTCTTGCTCTCTGAAATAGACAGGAGAGTGCACATCAAGTAAAAGATGATTTAGTTAGAGCTGCAGGGATCTCAAGCAGAACAGTCAGTCAAAGATTACTTGGAATGGGACTGAAAGCTTACCATCCATTTTTGGTGTTACCTTTGACACCAAATCATAAAGCTCCACGCTTAGATTAGTGCAGAGCTCGGCAAAATTGGAATGGCCAGTGGAATTTTGTCTGATTCAGTGATAAATCTAGGTTTTTTGGTGGCTCCGATAGGTGCACTTCTAGTTTTTATTAACTACACTCTGACAGCTCGACAATATACTGGTGAAGTACTACAAGCGGTTTTACATCCCCACATACAAACCATTGTAAATGCAATCTTTCAATAGGATAACGGAAGAATTTGTATTTCCCGTAAAGCTGTGAGATGCATTCAAGAATCTGGTATAGAGACTTTGAAGTGGCAATTAAGATCAGCTGATTTGTCGCCCATTGAACATGTATAGAATATGGTTGGTCTAAACCTAAATCAATTGCCACGTCCTTCAGCAAACTTTAAAACCTTTGACATGCCATGAGCAGAATCTCAATGAGTATTCCGCAATATGATACAGACCACTTAATTCGTTTAATACGCCATAGAGTATCTGAGTGTATAAAAAATCAAGGAGGAGCTACTTATTGTTAGTTTTTTGACGAAAATGCATCAGTATAAGTAGTAACTCTTTAAATTAAAGTTCTCAGCTGAGTTTGCCAAGGGTGAGTGAATTGTGAACTTCAAATTGGACAATGGTAAAAAATTTCCGGTTCTAGAAAAAGTCGATCTTTCATTTTTTTTAAACCGGGAGAGCTCGACGAAATAATAACAACTGGATAATTTTCATTTCTGATTTATAAATCCACATATGAACAACAATATTGAAAATTGATGTTCGATAAGAGATTACCTTTTATAATAAGAAATCTAACAAAAAGTGAATATGGATCGCACTCAACAGAACTATCAAAAATAAAATAAACTATTTTCTCTCTAACAACAATAGAATATTTTTGAAGATGTCAAAACAATAAACAACGTAACAATTGGTAGTGACCATCGTATAGTTAGAGCGAAAATAAATATTTACACGAAAAAAGAAAGAAAAAGGATCTTTAAAAAAAACAACGTGAATAGATGCCTTTAAAGTAAGAACAAATGAAAAATAAATTCTAAAGGTCTTATCGAATTGACGACGTGAACAAAAACAAATAAAACCTTCTCTAAAAGAAGATAACTATTAGCAGAAAACGAAATAAATAAAGAAATTAAAAAGGAACTAACATAGAAAACAACAGAGGCTTAAAATGTCTAAGTCCGATACTGGGTGTTCAAAAAATTATCAAAATAAAAGACACCAATAATCAGAGATAATGTAATACGAACATAAGTTATCATTATGACAACATAAGCCAGGTCTGTTAGTGTTAATGTCTTAGAGGAAGAACCGTTAGCATTTAGGCCAGGTAAGTAGACAAATGACAACATATTATGCATATTGAGAAGTACATTAGAAAGGAAAAAAAAAAGAAGAACTATACTTTCAGTTAAATTACCTAGAAGCAGCTTCCGTCATGCTTTGTCTGCACTCCTTTCCAGTAGAACTACACTATCCTACTCTCTACCATCAACCATCTCTCAGATCATTACCATACTCATCTACACACCCACTACACATCTGATATACCAATTCTTACAATAGAATTCAGACTACGATCTAATGAGAGAAATGTACTATAGACAATGATAACCACTATGTGTATACGCTCTTTAGAATCAGTGTCAAAGTGTAACTCTAGCGCGCCTCCCCGGTACCCACTTATAGAACACTCTCACCACATCACATCCATCCCAACTCCTCCTCTACTCTTACAGCCAGGAATATTATTTATAATCACAATACTTCGATCCGCCATTTCATATCTCTACCATAACACTCCACAAAGTCCATGACAATTAACCCTACAGACCCACAGATCAGAACCTCAGCGATCACACCATCGGCATATGTCACACTCAACCTCCATACATTGTATTTATACACCTTAAGTTTCACCTACCTAATTACCAATACCAATGTGTACTAACCCCCTTCTCACAACCCTTGCAGAACTGAAACAACCAAACGCAATAACTAGCACAAACTCATAGTGACAGTCTTCACACACACCCGCTAACATAAAACGATAGAACCCGTCCCATAACTCCTCCCAACATTTCCGACTACACTAATATGTCCCACACACCTATCTCCACTACATCAATCATCTTAAAAAACACAATCAGTGTCCCCCTATAAACAAGAATATGTGTGCTAGTCATAACAAATCAATGAACAATATCCCCATTTCCCCCTCCACCACTCCCCATCCCTAATCCAACCCAAACTAAATTTGCCTCCTCATTCTATAATCAACTAATATCAAATAAATCCATCTAATAATCACCTCTGTCTACAACCTCATCCTATCTTCTACACCCCTCCCCCCCACCCCCTATAATTTAACTGCCCAACTCACTCTCCTAAACCCAATTTGCTCCCTCCACACCAAAACACGACCCTACTTCTATCCAACCATCCACTGTATCCCCCTACACCCAACACCCCCCTATCACACCCACACACACCCACCAACCATACCTCCCTAACTCTAATTAATGATCATGTCAACTCAATATGCTCTCGTGCTTCACTCACGTATCACCACCAAACCTCACCCCCTCCCCCCCCCCCCCCCCCCTCACCACCTAACCACCACCTGACTATTCGCTTAAACTAAAAGCCTCTCTATGATAACCACTTGAACTACCAAGCTACCCTTAAACCCACCACCGCTCTCGTCCCTAGTCGCTGACTCTAAATATGTCCCCACATCCACTTCTCCACCCACATCCTCAATGTCAATACTCACATGTCCATGTCCTTACCCATTACTCTCCTGCTCTCTTAAAATGACCAGTAACAAGACACAATTTACCACAACACCCCCCCCCCCCCTTCCACATCCCCCCATATCCCAAATCCAAAACCCCCAAACCCCTCCCCATTTCCAAACATAACCCCCACCTCCCTATAACCCTGAACCCCCAATTAACCCTCTCATACGAATAATACCAATTATACTTCTCCATACCCCCTCACCTTCTGTCACCCATCATATAGTCGAGTGTCACTTTATAAATATGTATTCCCGAAACACCCCCCCTTGAGAGTTTAGAGATGTATCACAGATGTTGCATGATTCGATGAATGTTGAAATCGTGACAAATTTTTATGTGTCTATCCCATAAACACCTACATCGTTCTCCCCACCACTCAAATATGATAGTTCATTGTTATGTTGTGTTAAATTAATCATAGCTCATTACTTGTAATGCTTCAAGACTCGATCGAGTGGCGATGTAACTCATACTGATACGAGTAGTTGTGAGCATCTAAAGAGAAAGACTAATTCCGTTGTACTCTGCTGCCTGTGAATGTAGTGTTCCGCAGGCAATTCTGTTACGATCTGACGTGAAAGCTCAGAGGTCTGTAAGATCATGTATTGTGGATGTTTCATGATATTTCTATGATATAACTATGGCTATCATAGATGTCGATAACTAGAAGCTGCGCCATGTTTATCAATAGTATTCTTATATTATCATATGATAGTCTTTATATTCGAGTATGGAACGTGTGAAATCTTATATCTCGTAGACAGACTAGTCTTAACTCTGCTATTGTAATTTTAAATACAGCATAAAGCCAAGGGTATTGATGATGGAGCTAGGTCACTAAGTGTAGACGAGCCTCGTGTAAGAGAGGAGAACGCAATTCATTCGGTCTAGTACTAGCACGTTTGCTACTGAGCACGAATAACACTGGTTGTAAGCTTTTATTAGTATAAGATTGATTCTCTCTCATTTGTGTGTATAATATACTATACATTTATTATCCTCCAACCCACCCCCCCATTCCCTTTAGATTTTTGTGACCTTAATATTTTATTAAGACTTAGCGCATTTTAAGAACGTGTGTACCCAGACAACACATTACTGTTGTTCATATTGTAGAACGCTACTATTTGTTAGATAATTTAACGCGTTATACTTGTTTGAAGATGAGTTTGTTGATCGAAAAGATATAGATAAGATTTGTTTCATATTTATTAAATTAAACAATAATATTAAACAAATTATTAAAGGAAAAAATCTAACAAAAAACAACAAATAATCCCATTAAACAATCAAATAAACCCCATTAAATCACACACAAAAATCCCACTAAACCACCTGAGATCCTTCCAG